ACTGCTCACTTTCAGAAATCACAAGCATTTCTTCCACAGGTCAGAAACGTCCCTGTGATTATCTGGCTAGACACATGAGTAAGAATTTGTGAGCTCCTTTTGGCTCAGGATACCAGGCACTGTCATAAACAATAAAGTTGCCTGTCTGAGCCCTACCAGCTCTTGCTTAAACTCTTCTGACTCGTCAAACAGCAGAACCTTTTAAATCATTCACAAGCAGGCAGTGTAATAAGGATGTTACTTCAGTTATGAAAGCACCTGGGTGACGGGGACAGTATATTTTGTTGGGTTTTTTCCTCTCAACCCTTTACAGTATCTTTGGTTATCCTGATTTTAACAAAGCACTAATTTTTTGTACTGAAAGGCCTTATGGATATTGGAAAATTCAAACATTGCATGCAGAGGTGAGCTAATAAGTGAAGTTCTGAACAGGTAAAGTACAGCTTAAACAGGACCAAATTTTAACCTTTGTTCCATTACTCCTGAACAAGATCAAAGGCTGTTTGTATTGTGGAATAAAATTACTTCTTATATGCTATGTTGCACTAGAGGTAAACAATTGAAATATTAAAATAGTTTGGTATAGGGGAAGGACATTTTATCAGAATAAAACAGTATATCAAATCAGAGAGAAAATTAATTTCTCGTAGCATTAGAATATCAAAGCTCTGTTGCCATGTGATTTTTGTCCTGTATGAACACAGCATGTCTATATTCTTTCCAAGGGTTTTGCTATTCCTTTTTCTTCTGTTAGTATTGTACAAATCAGACACAATCTTGACTTGTATCTTTAAAATAACCTTGCTCTTTGGAGAAGCATTTCCTTAAATACATATAACCTGTAGAGAGAATGGAATATATAGCACTTATTCAATGTATAGTTTGTGTGCATTTTTAGAAGAGGAAAGACATTTAAGAACAGAGTTCTGGCATATTTTTGGAGACCATCATTGCACAGTTGCTTGCATACAGGATTAACCCTTAAGGATAAATGAGAGAAGTAGAAATTTGCAGTAATCTCTGTGGGGAAGAAGGAATTCTGGTTTTTGCATATCTTTTATCCTGTCTCATATAGTTTCTTATAGGATTTGCTTGAGGTCTGAGTTCTCATATGTAAATGGGTTTGTCTTGTCTCCAGTGCTTTGTGTGGTTACACAATAGGACTTTTTTTCACTTATCACTGGCCAGTCATTCAAAAAGTCCTTTCTGTTTCTGTTGCAAATGCAGGACTGTTTGAGGCTTTCAATGTTCCTTCTTCTCATAGAGAATAATACTCTTTTCTGTGCTTTTGAATGCAGGTGTGTAAGGGCAGAATACATCAATCGGTGTTAGAGAAGCCAAGCATATCTCGTTATTATCACAGACATTTATTAGTATAAGCATCTGCTAAAAAGTGTGCCCACTAATGAAAATTTACACTACAATTTCTTTTGCAAATTAGGAGGGAGTTTGTACTGATGCATTTATTCTAAAGGAAAAGAGATGTCAATGCACCATGCCCATTCTCTCATTCTCTGAATTACTTTAATTTGTAGGCACTGATTCTGTTTTTGTTTCAGCTTAATGGTGTTACCCAGTGCCCATGTCCTTACAGAAAGTCTGTAGTAGATCCTAAGAGGTGCAGGCTGCCTTGTTCATTTAAAATTAAATCTTTAATGCTTTTTGGTCTTGCAGCCATGGAATTTAGTGGGTTTTCATGTTAGTGGTTTAGCAAGGGGGTAGTGGAACAGGAAGCATGCAACCTGGATAATAAAACTGAAGGACAGAATCTTTCTAAAAGACAAAGCCACCATCTTCACAATAGATTCCTCACGTAAAAGCTTGTATTTTCACAAAATCATATTGCTTGAATAAATGGTCATAGTTGGAAAATAACTGGGCATCAAACTGCCACTACACGCATTAGGAGCTGATAGGTCTCCTAATGTAGGAAAGGCAGCTTAGGTTTGGTCTCAGAGAGCCAGAATCTCTGCCTGCCAGGGAGAACATCTGTCAGGAGTGCCTCTCCATCCCAGCGGCTGGCGGAAGGACCAGACGACCTCTGAGATCACTTCTAGCCCTGTCTGATTCTGTGAAAACAAAACTGTTCCCAAGGGGTGGCAGAGGCAGCTGCCTGCTCAGGACAAAGAGCTGAGCCTTCAGGAGCAGCTGCTGCAAGGAGTTTAGAGGAGATAGCACTTTCCAGTATAATGGCATGAAATGACAGATGGCACCTTCCACTCTGCCATCATAGTGAGGAAGGATCTGTGCACGAGGGCTTCCTGTTTTGCCATCCTCATTAGGTCGTGTTGGAGAGGATTAAAAACACCCCTCTGGATTTTCAGTCAGCGTGCTTGTGCAGCTGAATTAGATTAGAATCACCATGCTGGCATTTTGTTACATAAAAGTAGCTGAGTAACAATGAAGGGAGACGTGATCTCTACAAGCTTCTGATACTGTTTTATCAGGGATGTGACTTTTTTTTTAAACTGATACAATCTGTTCTGTTGCACAATACTCAAACTATTGCGGGAGGAAGGTGCCTTTCTTGCTGGTGGCCTTTTCTTTCAGGGTAGGACCTTTAAACAAACAGAAGCTGCACCATTTCATACATAGATACGGCAGAAAATGCACAGGTTATAGGAACACAGATTGACCTTCCCTCTCCTTCCATCTACACACACACACACACACAGACACACACACGTCATCTACATAAATTACACAATTCAGTTGAGCAGAAAATTATTTTAGGAAAAAATCTACTTAAAGAAGTGCAAAATACATTTGAAAAGATGAGAGTTTTAGTACAAACTAAGTCTTGGCATGTGGTTGTGTAAAGAAATATCTGCCATTGTGTTCGTACACAGCAAAGTTAATTTGCTTCTCTAAAGAAAAGGGTTCAAATAACATCCACCATTCCTGAAAAAATTCTTCATGAATCATCAGGGTTTTATTTTCATTTTGCTCTCTCCCAGGACAAGATGAGTAAGAGATGGATTGTGCTTTCCTTGCTGTGCAACCCATCTGCCATTTTCACACTACTAAGTAGGATAAATGTCCTTAGGTGGAAACAGATTCCTGCTTTGGACAAATTTATAAGGTGTATGCTCAATGTGACATTCACTTTTGGTCCCTATCTTGCAAAATCCAAAATATTTTTTCTGGTGCTGGTATGTGGCATTATTATGCAGTGGATGTTCTCAATGGGAAATGTTTTCTTCCTAGTTAGTACTACACTTCTGTTGGCTTTTGATTTTCAGTGTGATCAAAAGAATGCTGCAGCCCTACTGAGAGAGAGACTATCTCTGCTGTAGCCAAGACATGATATATATGTGGCTTTGATGGTTAGAACCAAGGCTTTATTCTGGAAGTGAAGTGAGAGACCAAAGAAAGGATCAAAGTTAAGGAGTGATGCATGAATGACAGCATCAGATGGGCTGCAGCTTGCCTGGCAGGGAATCACTATAAAGGTAACACCCACAGATGCTTACAGAGTGAATAAGCAGTTCTGAGGAAGGAGTGCAAGGTGAGTAGAAGTGCTTCTATGTTGCTGAGATTTTATTTTCTTGTTTAAATCTGAGTGATGTTTTTGAATTTGTTTACTGAAAAGATACCAATGGTTTGTAGTATTTCTTTAAGAAATTTATTTTTCTTATTTTTCTGCAAAAAATATTTTCATATTTTTCTGCAAAATGTACCAGTGCTTTCTAACTGAAAGTCTCAAACTGTCAAATAAAGTATTTTTTCTTATTTTTCTTTTAGATATTTTTTCTTTTAGATAGCTGAAAGTAAGATCAGCTAATGTGCCACTTCCCTTTGCTCCAAGGTTTTAAATTAACTTGAGATTTATTTTGGCACACAACAGCTGCAATAACTTCAAAATCATAATAAGGGATTAGTGATTTGCTGTATATACGCCTAAAAGTCTTCAGATGTGTACATTCCAGAACTGCATGCCAGTGAGGGTCAGAATTAAAGCTCCCCTTAGTGTAACAAAGACTTTAAACATGTCACCTTTAATATTCACATTTTCTGGCTCCTGGCATGTCTGTTTCCTATCTGACATTCACAGTGTTGACTGACTCCTAACAACCTGCAGCCGAAAGGACTTAATGCTTTTCATCTTTCTAAGCAGACATGAACAAATTAATCCTCCCCCAAATCCTGTGATGGTGGAGATACAATCACTTTATGGAGCCACATATATTACTTGCTCAAGGTCACGGCCCTGGTCGGTCTTAAAGACAGGATTAGGATTCAGGTCTTAATTCAGGTCCCCAGTCCTGTGCTCAGAGCGCCATGGCATGAACTTCTGTGCAGCAAAACAGTTCTTTTGTCTAAAAATTGTCCTTAGAATTACAGTTAGAGATTGTAAGAAATCAAGGGGATCATTTGGATTTATTTCAGCATCAGCCAACACATGTGACAACTCTGAAGTTCACACTCTTATGCTTCTATGTAAAGGAATTTAAATCGCATTTTTGCCCAGGGGAAAAAAACCACCAAAAACCAAACAATATATATTATTCTAATGAACAGCAATTAAAATGTCATTAGCAGTATTCCACAGTTGCTTTGCAGACCTGTCATTTGTCTACACAGAGCTCAAAAAAACTTTACAAATTTAGGACAGCAGATCATGTTTAGGAAAAAGACTTTATGAAGCTCCTTATGTTCCCATCTTCTTTCTTGTCACCTCAGTAAGACAGTAAGCATTACTGGAAAAACTAAGAAGGTCAGAACAGCTAAAAGGCAGGAGAGAAAATGGGAATCTTGTTATATACAGCTTCCTGCAAATTTTAACTGCAGAAACCCGAGTTTCAAATTAATTCATAAACAAAGATCCTATTGATTTTTAGCAGCAGAGGAATGCATTCATTCTCTCTCTTGCCATATGAATTTTTGAAGAGTCAACAAGACTCAGAATAATCCCAGCTTGTGGGACTATGTAGGTTTTTAGATGTTGTCCTGAAATAATTTGCATTTTATAGCTTTTGTGGTTGTATCTTGACTTGACCTTGATACCAAGTCACCAAAACAACTATTTTGTGACCGGTTTTTCATCACTAATTTCATTCTCACATTTCTCTAAACTGAAGATGGATGTTCATTTTTAAAAGCTTGGATTTGTGATTTTAAAAAACAAAAATTAATCAAAGACCACCTAAGTGTCTGTGTGTTCCTTCCAGTTTTGAAATCAACAGGTTTCCTTATCAACAGAGGTTTCCTTATCAACTCCAGATGGCACTGCAGTGCTTAGCATTATCCTGCCAGGGAGGGCTCAAGGAATGCAAAAGCAGGCAAGCCCCTGAGAAACAAGGGCCTGCTTGTTTTATGAGAAATCAGCTAATAGTTTTCCAGTACAGATGTTCTACTTTATTTTCAGTTTGGTGGAGACTGGGGTAACAAATGGCAGCTTATATGCCTCTGAGATAGGGCTTGTGTGCAAGAAAGGGCTCCCTTGTCTGTATGTGCAGGAGGTCACAAGGGTAGTAGCCCTTGCACCAGTAAAGCCTCATGTAGCACACATGAAGGGGCAAGCTCTGCTGTTGCACAGCTCTTCCTACTCAGTGACTAATTCTATTGCTGTGCAATTGGTAATTTTGCCTTATAAAAGTGTATTTTCAAGGCTATAGAGCAAACCATTGAAGTAATGCGGTTACTGGTATTTTTTCTAGGGAAAACTCATAGACTTTACTGCTTGGAAGACATCTTCTGCTATGTCTTGTGTTGTCAGACTATTGCAAAAATGTCTGCAGTAAATTCTCTTCTTTCATGTTCATAATTTGTAAACTTGGGAGTAGAATGTTTTTATATTTGCATAATGATACACTCATAAATTTCTATAATTTGTATTTTCTTCCATATTTTTCTTGAGATGCTATCTCCTTAGTTTTTATTGCCATCTTAATTTTGTAGAAGTCTGCCAGATTCCTACCTTCTCTCTTAACCCTCCTTAACTTTTACTGTAATTCTCCAGTTTTGCAAACACTAATTTCTAAATACTTGCTACATGGCCTCTGGACCCACAGAAGTGTCCAGCACCCACTGCACAATCACTGAGCCACTGCTCAATCCAAGTCTCAATAACACCCCTGGTTCTTCTGTACATTTCATGCAATGCTCTGAATTTGCTCCACAGGCCAAATACCCCTTCTGATTCCAAGCAAAACTTAAGGAGTTTCTATAGGCTCACTTCCAGGCTGCTGTATTTTTAACTCAAATAAATCCTCTCCTATAAGCTAATGAAACAAATAATGATACACAGAAAGGGCTATTTGCCATCCATCTTCCAGCACAGGAAACTGTTTCATTACAAAAAGTTAATGGGAAAAATATGAGTTCAAAAGACAAAAAGAAGTAAAAGCAAGAGAGATGTGATAAACAGGCAGAACCTTAAAATAATCTTGGTTCTCTCTAAAGCTTCTCTCTTAAGCTCCCCCTAGATTTATGAAATATTAGGGTATTTGTCATTTTACTTTTGGTAAATGAGTAGCTTTAACACCAAACAATGCTGAATGCCCTACATTACTAATGATGCCTCTGAAGACTGAGAACCTGTACCACACCTGCTTTTGTTCCACAGCTCTGTAGCTTTTAATAGTCTTCTCTTCAAAGTTGTGTAAGGGCAGTGGTGGCTCCTGGCAGCATTAGAGTGCAAAACTGATACGTTGTCAGTGTAGGTGACACAATAGGTACACTGCTGCTTTCAAAATGTATTCCTGTCCATTCTAGGTGTTCTGAGAAAAAACTCAAAAAATACCTGAAATCAGTTTTTAAAAATTCAAAATAAAGTTTAATTTAAGAAGACTATCCTCAAATAAAATTTATATACATTGTATTTACAATTTTGCTGCTGACATCATGTTCACATATAATAACCTGCATCAGTTACACTTAAATAGGCTCCACTCAGCTTCTAGACTGAAACCAGTGCCAGACCAAATACCTGAAAAAAACCAAAAATCCTCTTTTGATGGGGGTATAGATAACCATGACACATATGATGAATATAAAAAAATAAAATCTATAACCTAAGAAGAATAAACCAAAGCACTGTTGTTACACTGTCAGAAAATCAAAATTTGCATTAGAAATCATGCACATTTTTCTGAAGAGACAATCCAGAGTTGTGGTGGATTGACACAGTCTGGATATCAGATGCTCACCAAAGCTTCTCTGTCACTCTCCAGCTAGGCACTGGAGAGAAAATAAAAGGAAAGGTTCATGGGTCGAGATAAGGATGGGGAGAGTTTAGTCACCAGTTACTGTCATGGACAAAACAGACTCAACTTGGGGAAATTAATTCATTACCAATCAAATCAGGAGTCTCACATACTTAAAAATGTTGCAATTTGGTTTTTTTTTTTTTGCTTTCTCTGACATGCTCAAGAAGTTACAAAGTGTAACACAAACTACAGAAGTGCTGTTAGCCTTTGATTTAATAAAAGGGAATCTGCAACCATTTGCTTTTCTGATCAACTAGCACAGCATGGGTAGTTCCATCAGACAAACAGGTTTGATGTCTTCTGTGGTCATAATCTAGACTTACTCTAAATGTGTTTGGAATTAACTTGAAGATGTTGCAAAATGTTTTTTCATTCATTCTGGAAAACACAGACATGAGACAGCATCTGAGGAAAACAAAGAATGGAAGTAATCCCTATGGACAGTACAGCCTTCCAGAACTCAAGCAGGAGAGTTAAATATTGGATGGAATGAATGGAAACTGGCCTGCACAAAAGTGGTTTTGTGTCCTTATTACTGTCTTGTGGAAACTTATCCTGTCAGTTCCTTTGTGGGCTAGTTAGCTCTCCTTTTGCCTGCTGAGGATGAAGGTGTAGAACTTCTATCAATGTTTCTTCATTAATTTAGGCCTAAACATGTTGCTTGTTTATTTTTAAAGTACTACTCTGTTGCTGAATGGCTTCATGTCTCAATTTTTGCTTCCACTAAATGTACAGCCAGATGAGGACTGGGTGTGGGGATGTGACTTAAATGCAGAAGTGGTATCCCCATCACCCCTGCATGTTGGGGATTAGTCCTTTCACTCTTTCTTCCGCTTTCAGAACAAAACAGCATTTATGAGATCACGTAAAATTTCAAGGCAGTTTAAACCTATCATTCCTAGAGATTTCTCTAGAACTAGATGTTTTATTATTTTGGATCGTTACACAAACATTCCAGCAACATACAGCTTGGTTTTCCCATTGTAGTTTCACTCTGGAATACTGGCCTTTTCTCTAATAAACTATTTGCAAATGTTCACTTTTCTCTTTGAAAATCTGGTTTTGCGGAAATATAAATTTTGGCTTTTACATTTTTCCACTGACTCCCTTCCTCTTAAGGGAACAATTCCTCCTCTCTCTGCCAAAATGCACTGATTGGTAGCAGGGCTGGGTTTTTTTAGTGTACCTTTGTTCTTACAGCCACAGCTATGCAGCCAGATTTATAGAACTGTTAGGATAGTGAGACATTCATATTTTTAATGGGAAAATAAACAACCTAAGGCTGAAGTTTTATGGCTCAGCACAGTAAACAGCCAAACTTCTAACATTTTTTTGTTATCTATCACCTTCTTTATCCCAGTGAAAACAGTGTTATTGGAGCCTGCTGGCAGAGATCATTCTTAGAAAATTATTATCATCATCTTGTTGGTATTTCTTCACTGGGCTGACATTTCAAACATCCCATCCCATTTTCTGGAACAAGCAGACCACGCCATTTTCCAAAATTAATCCAAAGAAGATGGCAAACCAAGGGAGTATTCGGTTCAAGTTCAAAGTAACTGCAAAACAAAACAGAACAAACTTATCATGTACGATTTAAGAATATCACGGAAATCCTGTGAATATTCATATTAATTTGTGTGTATAAGAAATAACACAAATTTGTTAAGTCTGCATTCTAAAGATATTAATAAAATGAATATGAAATTTTCATTTTTCATAAACTCAAAAGAATTCTATTTTATGTTTCAATGATCCATGAATTGTCTCAAATTGCACCAGATGGATCTGGTGGATATAATACTGTATATACAAAGAGATGATGGTGAGATAAGAGGCACTTTTTTCTTTATTTTTAATTTTTTTTTTGTTTCAATCACTTTCTATTAAAGTTTTAAAAACACAGTTTTAAACTAGAGCTATTTCAGTCACATATCTGATATGGATTAAAAAGATAACAGTGATAATGACTGTAACATTAGCAGTCTCTCACACATATTCCATACACATAATGCAGTAATAAAAAATGCAAAAATGTACCTCTAATTGCCTGAGAGTTTGATATCAAGACAAACACTTTTATAAATGCAAGGCACAAAGGTGTGTAGTCGTGCTCCCAAATAACAGCTGGAATTAGCAGCAGCTTTCCATAGGTGGACAACAGCAGTGCTTTGAGAAGTAAAATGAAGTCTGACTTTCTTTTCAGCATCTCAGGTGTCATCCACCACAAGGTAATAAAAATGCCAATGAAAAATGAAGTTTGTTCTAAAAGGAAATAAGAGCATGTGAAAGAGAGAACAAAATGCCAAAAATCAAGTCCAGTTATGAATGAATTTCAGTAAAATGACATGTCCCAAAGGCAACTGACTCACTTTTTAAAAGCCATAGGCAAATACAAACGTTCTCTATCTCCTGTGTTCATTTTAATAGTCAAATATTCCTTAAACCAATCCAATACCATGACATTCAGAATAATTCTACCACAGGATTCTATCTGTAGGATTATCATATTTGTAATTTCTGACTCCATATAGCACAGCACAAGAAACTAAGCACAAGAAGCTAAGCACAAGAACCTCTTCACTCTTACTTTTTAGTAAAAAAAAGTCTGTTAGGCTGTAAAACAAAATCAATCCTTGTCTTCTTTGCAAAAGGTCACCAGCAATGAACCCTTTTCATCCAGCATGAGAAAGAACACCAAGGTGAAAATACCATAGAGCTACCAGACTTTTTTTGACACCACTCCTGTGATATGCTGGCAATAATGCTTTTTCTTTTCTGAGGCCTATTTTCACATCTTCTGAAAGTCTTCTTACCTTTACTGTTTCCCACACTCCCACAATAACTGTAATAGATGAGTCACTAGTGAAAAATCAGTTCAATATTTTTACTGACATATTATAAAAACCTACTTTGAAATATTTCAACTGGCATAGAACAAAACCACTCCCCTGCTTTCAAGTGTAGTCTTAGAGCACAGAAGTATTTACTCTTTATTGTTGATGACACTGGTCTGTATTTTAGTGTATTTTTGTTTAAAAAAACAACCCCAAACATATACAGCTTTTCCCAATTGTTTACCTTAGTAAGGTTGTATCACCTTACTGAGTAATGAACCTTGAAGTCAACATGAAAATAAGGTTGATCTCTATGCTGATCTTCACACTATGTCAATAGGTATCAGGCAAAGATTTCTAAATATTGCCACTTTTCGGTCTCTTCATATCAAATGCTGATCCTATCAGTCTGAACTGTAATCAGGATCAAAACAGGCATTTGCATTAAATGCAGGCAAACTGGAGAGTATGTGTGTAATTGTGTAACTTTACTGGGTTGGACATCACATCCATTCTGTATCAATTTTTGCAGTATGGGCTTGAAGTTCTTCAATGTTTAAAGAGTATATAATACATATCACCAATCTTACCTAAAGAAGCTATGCCAAACATTCTATAAAAATCCCATTCTTTGGCATATCTGATTAAGTCATCAGGATCTGTATTTTGGCTTGAATCCTGTAGTTGCAACCACCTGATATAAGCTTCACAGAGCAAACAAAATATGCAGAGCTTCCCATGAATCTGGTAAACGAAAGAATAATAAAAGGAGTAGAATTAAATCAGCATAAATTAAAGCATTAGTATGAAATCAGTATTTAAAATAGATTTCAACAGCTCTACACAAACTCCATAGGCATATTATTTTTCTTTAGAATATAAGTAAAATTACTTCTGTTGAGCCACTAGTTTAACACATCATCTGTTAACATGATAGTCAAATTACAACATGTACAAAACTGCATGAACAGTTCTGCACAGAAGAAGCTATATAACTGTGGTTTCTAAGGCCTGATCCATACTATCTTAAAATTGGGAAGGCTGTTCAGCTAGGAAGGAAAAATTATAATTGTGCCATAGCTAGTAGAATTATACTATCTAAAATTTCAGTTTAAAGGCATCTTAAAGACTCCATTCAGCAAACTGGTTTAAGTACCCTTGTTTCTCTTTTTCCCTGGGATAATCTCCATTAGAAGAATCTTGTAGTGTAGTTATACCAAAATATTTCTTAATTCATATACGGGTAAGGCACCAAAATAAAGGTAGCAATAAACCAAACAAAACTATTTAAAATATCTTCTGAAGTGACTGCAAAAACTATGTTGTGAGGCCCACAGTTAGCAAGTTTCCACATAATACAGTCTATAAGCCAGTGCATATATGAGGTGATTTCTGGCTTTATACAGATTTAAACAAGCCATAACAATTTCTGTGCATGGATTCTACTTTTTCCATTGGGGGCAAATTATGCCAACTGCACATACATGCACAGGCTTTGCCAGTTTAAAATTCAACTCAATTTATTTGAATAAATGAACTTTTCACAGATAGTCCTTCCAGAAGCCTCGCAAAAAACATCGTTACCAGTCTCCAGAAGCACCAAATTAATTAAAAATATTTAGATAGATTTATGCTTGAAAGATGAGGTAGGTGTATTTATCTACACTGCTTAAACTGGACTGGCTAAGAGGTACCAACATGAACACAGCACATACTTATGCTTAGAGATTTTGTCTAGATTAGCTTCCCTCTCCTGGGAAATCAGTCCTTACAGTAAAAATATGCAATACTAAAAAGCTACACCTCTACACTCCAGCCTGACCAGCCCAACTATGTAATTCTGCATCAACCACAATTCAAGTGAAAATCACCATCTTTTGCTCTGGCTTTGAGGGCATGGTTAATTACACAGGGAGAAACTTGTGAGAAATTAGTAAAGTAGGTTCAACTGGCATAGTATTGTTAATTTGGTATGTTATACTCCTGTTGCTCATTCGAAAAATAATTGTTTCCAACAGTAATTTAATTTGGAAATTAATTTACAATTAGATTGTTCTCTTACAGTGGAATTTAGCACATCATCCTTTTAGCATCAATTAATGTGATAGGCAGGTTAGAGTAGATGCTGGTACTGCAGCATCACATCTGTGAAAACAGCAGCTGTCTTAGTAACAATGGGAGTTTGAGATTCCATGTGTTCTATTCACTGTATAACTGGTTCAGCTTGCTGAAATCTATGGAAGGACAGGAGACGAACAGTCTTTAAAGTTTTACAACTATTACAATCAACTTACCAAGCCTAAATGTATTTTTAACACAAAAGGTCACAAGGTAGGGACATAGCAACTTACATTTATCTTTGTATTGAAAAGAATGTGCCTGTATGCTTGTGCTTTGCATAAAACAGCATTAATCAAGATGATAACAGGATCATACTCAATGTATTTATCCACAGGTTTCTGGCAGGATTTCTGAAAATCACAAAACAAGAATTAGGGGGGAAAAAAAGAAAGAAGAGTTTATAAATTTTTTCTCATCTTAGTACAACTGGATAAATACAGCAACTGGATAAAAACTAGCAATTTTTGTCATTTTCATTTTCAATACAGTTTTAATCTATCCAGAAAAATTGCTTCTCCTCCCTTGACACTACAGTTGACACACAGACTTCCCTTATAAAATATAAAGATTTATTATTGATTTTACAGGCTTTGGATTAAGATTGATAATGAACTATGCAGGAATGGACTTAGTTATCATTTTGAGCTCCAGACATGCAAAAAACCAAACTACTTTCCCAAGACTCAAGAAATGCACCAGTATCATGCCAAAGGTAAACTGATCATGGCTCATTTACTGGGTATTTTGTGTTATTTTGGATATTTTTAAGAAAGAAAATTAATTTCTTCTATCACTTCCTTATTTTCAGAGATGCTTTATCCTCCTATCCTACCTTTTTCTTTCTTTCCAGGAGACAGTAAATGTTTTTTTGGTGTTGCATTGTTCTTCCATCATTCCACTATTAAATTGTCTGGATGTTTCAACCAGTTTTCCATCACTGATTAATACCAATACATTCAGAATACTGAGAATGTAGTTTTCACACAGATCTACAGCCAAAGAGTCAGTTGCCACTAAGCAGTAGTAGGACACTAGACCATCACTTCTCCAACACATCTGCTGGTTCCTGCTGTGTCTGTTAGAGAGATTATTTCACCCAGACCACTGGGGAAATGTTTGTCATCAATCCCTTCCAGCTTTATTGACTCACCTGCCTGGCTAATCACTCCTTGATTTGAGTTAGGGCTAATAAAAGGCTGTTATATTGTGTGCAGGAAGGTTAAATAATCTTACAAAAGGCTCATCTAGCAGACCTGAGGGGGAACTAACTTCTAGCAGAGAGCAGAGGAGCAGCAGCCACCACTTCAGCTCGAACAAATGCACTTGCAGAAGGGTGCTGTCCTGCAGGGCAGCTTTCTCCTGCTGCTAATCCTCCAGGCTGGCTACTTGTTTCCTCCAAGTCATCCTCAGCTAATCTTGGTCCCCCGGTCTTCACCTTAGCTGCCAGGCTGAGAACACAACAGTCACAGGAATTGTCTCTATTTCCATTTTAATGAGTGCATGGTGGTGCACCGCCAGAAGAGAAATGTTGGCACACCACTTTCTGAAATGCTGGAACAGTCAAAAATGCTGCATCAGACAGCCCACACCTACAGACAAACTCCCAGGATTGAACACAAAGGTTTTTCAATTTTATAGAGATCTGTTTTTCTGTCCTACAAAGACCACCTAAGTACCACACTGCTGCTCACTCACCCTGCAATAGGGTGAGGAGGAGACTCAGAAGAAGGTAAAACTCATGGGTGGTGAAAAGAATAGTTTCATAATTGAAATAAAGTAAAATATAATAATATTAATGAAATGGAAGATAGTAAGAGAGAGAAGAAAGAGAAAGAAGTGCTGCACAGCACAATTTCTCACCACCCACTGACCAATGCCCATTCCATCTCTGACCAGTGATCGGCCTCTCCTCAGCAGCTGTCCCCAGTTCATTTACTGGGCATGACACCCTATGAGGTATGGAATATCCCTTAGGCCACTTTGGGTCAGCTGTCCTGGCTGTGCTTCCTCTCAGCTCCTTGTGCACCTGCTGGCTGGCTGAGCATGGCAAACTGAAAAGTCCTCGACTTGGGATAAGCACTAACAGCAACAACTAAAACATCTGTGTCTTATCAACATTATTCTCATTCTGAATCCAAAACACAGCACTCTACCAGCTACTAGGCATAAAATTAAACCAGGCAAAACCAGAACAGTGTCCAAAGTTAACTCTGCCTTGCTATTTAACAGAATTATTTTTGGAGAATCTGAGAATGCAGAATTTCATGAGCAAATTGACTTAGAAGTCTAACATCAAAGTAAAAAAAAAATTCAGTTTATGCAAATAAATGCATAAACTGAATAGAGCATCTAGGGAATACTGCAACCTCTAATCAGTGTTTCTTGGTCCAGCTTAAGGAAAAACTTAACTCATTTCAGTAAGACAATACTGTGTATTACAGTACACAAGTTAGAGGTAATGAATTAAAAAACTCGCTCAGTTAACCAAGAGTTTGGTAAGTCTAAAAATAAAGAGAATGAGATGGAAAAAGGACATAATTAACACAAGAACACAGTTATAAGATTTAATAGAGGGAAAAAGAAATTGCTACTTTAATTAGAGGCAGTGTCTTGCTTCATTTCTTTCTGCTGGAAAATCATGGGCAGATATTCTTATAGGTGGTAATTTGCATATGCCAAATCTCTGGGTTGATGTAGCATCAGACAAGTGCAATTTTTTTTAATAGGTTTATTCACACAAGCACTGGACAAGTCCATACAAAATAAGATTATTCAACACAATGGGTGTCATAAAGGTTAGATGAAGGGTATTCTACATACACCCAGTTTCATTATGCTCTCAAATCCTCCTGCAACAGAACATTTTTTACCAGGGCAAAAAATCTTTCTGAGTAAAGAATGGTATTTTCAATCAGAGGATCCCAATCAAACAATGATCCAAAAAATTGCTGTTAAGAGGTATTGAAAAATTTTCACTGACAGCTGACATGGATTTTAGATAATGAAAATTTATCAGACCAACCATCCAGGCAAAACCAACAATACAGAAATTTACTGCAGATATATATAGGGACTGCTACAAATGAGTACACAAATAGCAGTATCTTCTGCCCCACAGGTTCTGGCAGGCAAATACCAAACCTTCTCTGCAGCTGTGAAAATTATGCTGAATTTAGTATTTCTGTCTTCTAGACTTAGATGAGAGTCCTATTCTTCATATATGTTATATTCCTAATATACTTTATTTCTATCTGAGTCTCTGCTGCAAGAAGGAAAAGTCCTCTGTGCTTACCCAGCCAGTGACCTAGCCAGTGACCTAGCCAGTGTGAGTTCATCCAGGGATTTCTGAGACCTACAAACCACCTTTGCTGCAAAAGATTTGTGTGTGTACTGCTACAGACTAATTGGATAATGGCTGCTATACCATTAGTATACCACAGAACTAATATGCCCTCTAGAAAGAATTTTTTCCATATCTGGCTTTTTCATTATTTTTTCCAGCTATACAACCAAAACATCTGACACTTAAATGCCTAGGAAGGAAACCTGTGACTAAGGCCTGACTTCAGCAAAATCAGTGCTAGCAAGGATTGATGCAGTTTAAATACACATATGTTTCACTAGATAGTTTCAACTAGTTAAAGGGATGTAACTTTGTGGACACTGATAATCACTTTGAGAGAAGATTGGTATGAGCAGCTCAGCTATGGAGAACTGCTTGCACACTTACTTTTAAGATTTTAATCATGCAGTTTAGCGTGAACTACAATCCTGGTGCTCACATCTCGTTCCCCACTGCTGTTCTGCACAGCTGCAGTCAGTGGCCTGGGGAGCATGAGTGAAGGTGGCACTGTCTGTAACATACCTGAACTTTTTCATCTTCTTTGGACTTCCTCAAAGAAGTGCCTCAGTTACCACAAAAGCAGTAAAAAGAGGTAACTGGATTTCTCTATGCTTTTAGCCATTTTTAACTTCTGTCTTAAATATTTAATTGGTATCAGAAACAAGTAACTGGTATTTTTTCTTGAAAAAATAGACACCACTTTGATTAAAAGCTACTTTCAGATTATGTTAAGAAGAAAAAAAGTCAAGCTTCACACCATAAATTCTATTTACACATCTTCTTCCAATCTGGCAAATTTAAGGAACATTACGAGTGTTTGATACTGACACACAAAAGTCCAACAGATACTGTGCTCCCCTAAAAAGTGATGTTAAAAGTATATCTAGTATATGCAAGTGTATATTCTAGCAAATTTAAATGGGTATTACTTTACGAACTGTTTGACTAATCAAATATTTAAGAAGATTTGACTATGCTTGTCTGTTGTTTAAAAAAAAATCTTTCAATTTCATAACTTAGAAGTTTGCTTAGGTATCTTAAAAAAAACCACAAAAACCAATTAGCAAAGGCAAATTAAAGAAAAAAAATCTTCAAAAGGTAGTACAACCATCTTCATAGCGTAGTATATGAGATTCTTTTTGGTCAAAGCAATCCAAAACATTTAAGGAAAGTAACATACATTTTAAAGTCTCAGTTGTATTGAATATAACCAAAAAGAAGTACTGATATGTTAATTCAAACCGCATGTTTATCAGCCTTTTATAAAACACTACTCAAAAACATAACTCTTACTTTGTTCATCAAAGATAGTCAGCTTGCAAACAGTGCTCACAAATGTGTGCCCAATACAATACAATATAGAAATATTTGAGAAAACACCTGCTGTCTCTGAAGGATTAAGTTTCTGAAGTATATGAACGTGACTTTTTGGACTCATCTCTCTAACAATAAAACATTACTTATTTTTAAATAAAAATATTTTGGGATGGGACTTCTAGAAACGAAAAGAATTTCTGAAGAGGAAGCCATAGGATATGACAGAGAGTAGAAATACACACTGAAGAACAAAGCTTCATCCTGATCTAAAACTACCATGAAAACCTCATCAGGAATCAGGAGATTTGCAAATCTCTGTGCATTAGAAATATCAATGAAACAGTCTTATTATAGTATCCTTTTCTCCAGGGTTTGGAGTTTGGCAAAATTAAGCTACAATTTTTTGCTGGACTACATATACAGCAAATTATAACAACATTTACATAGCTTCCATATGCACACAGATCCATTTGCATAGGTTCATAGGCAAATTAAAGACTCTTGTGAGAGTGCCCTTAATCCCAATTGCACCCTTAAATAATGAAACACATTAGCTGTGATGCTTTCAGGGATTTTCTTTATTAGGGATGCAGCCAAGTGTCATAGTAGACTGAAAAACAAAACAGCCCAGTTTCGGATGTATTCCATTTCAGAAAGCAAATTAAAAATATTGTTTTATAATTTTTTTCCATGTATAATGCATTTCCCAGTAATGAGTTGGTCTGTAAATAGAGTTAGGTAAAATTAGCATATGTTATTTTCCAGGATGATCTTTGTACTCTTGACAGATTCTTTACCATACCACATAAATGCTTTGCATTCAAAGCATTTGGTCTCTCTGCCTTGCTGCAATAAAAGAGCTCTTCAATTATTTTTTAATTGCAGAAAAGCTAAATGAAGTGTGCGCTGCTCAGGCAATTTGGCTTTCTTATTACAAAACACAAGGGGGATCCTGACTGTGCTCTATATATTGCCATGAGTAATTTATTTTCCTTTGTTATGGTGTGGAACATTTTTAACATTTTATTTTTAAACATAACAACATATATGAAACTGAAAACCAAATTTTAAAAATGTTTCCATGATTTTCTTTCTATTTCTGAGTAAGTGAAATTTGCTGATTTCTTTCTGTATTCATCGCACTTCAGAGAGTTTATTTATTACAGGTTAGCCAAACGTGTGTCCCACCCCATGCCCCAGCATTATTACTGTAGTAGCAGCATTATTTGAACAGTATTTTTTCTTTACTGTTCTTAATGGTAGGTTTGTAATATATTGTAATATATTCAGTGCAGATTATTTACAGATCAATTAAATTTTAAGGGTCTCAATAATTACCAAAACCTTCTGTAGAAGGAGCCACATAGGCATACTTCCACCATCACTTCTCGCTCAGAATAGGGAACACATCAGTACTTTCACAGATTAGGACTAAACCCAGACCCATGAGATGCAAAGTGAGTGCCAAGCATCACCTCGTTGGAGGCAATCCTAACATGCCCACACCCTCCCCTGTCGCTCCTCAGTTATCACACAAAGAAAGCAAAAAGCATATTGAAGAGGTCCATCTGCCTTCTGTAATGCTATTTCCACAGCAAAGTATATGCAGGATGAGAAAATGGTTCATCATCCACTACATGTGAATCTCCAGAAAGAAGGAATGTGCAATGCCAGAGGTCTGGGGCTAGGCTTCAGCTGAAAATGGTCTTAATTAAATGAAACAGATTTTAAAAGAAGTTACAGAACTTGAGGAATTCATGGCAGTTAGCCACCTTGCAGAGTTATTAAGAAAAGACATGACCTTTCCAACCCAATTGTACTGTGTGGACTTCTATGTTTTATAGAAGAAAGTTTCTTTATTTCCTTCAATATCCATTGCAAATTTATTCCCAGAGTGGAAAATAACACTTGTGAAGTCTTCAATGCTTGCCCACAATAAAATTACAATACCGAGTTCAAAGAAACTTTTAATTATTTTAAGAGCAGTAACAAATGCTGTGGGAACTAAACTAAAGCAACATTAGGCTCAATTTCCAAAATTGTACTCTAATATTGTGGGCTGGAAACACATGTTCCTTAATGGAAGTTTTTTGTATTTGCCTCTGGAAAAAATTCATTCTTCTCTTCAACAAATTAATAACAGAATACAAAATCATGGTATTTTGCTTAAGCATTCAAATTTAAATCTTCCACCTCAAAATCACACCCAGATCAGGTTAAACACATCCTAAAATAAATGTAGGGCTAGATAGAAGTTGCTGTTGGGAGAACTCAGCTTCTTCAACCTTGAGATAATGTTCCAAAAAGTGCTGAATGACAGGGTTGTCCTGAGAATGGCAAAGATATTTTAGATGCAGATTTATTAATGTATCAAGGAAAACTTTAAAATACTATTGGGGAAAGTCTGTAGGTCAGTATGAAACAGTGATGATCTTGACAATGTTCTGCTTGCTCCAAATTTTCCAGGACCCTCTATTTTACTTACCATATGGAACAAATGTTAGGTTGTTTGTTTTTTTCCTTAAGGTGTCAGTATTTCCAGGTACTACTTGAAAATGAAACACAAATTCTTTTTAACAAAACAAATTATCTAGATGATGCCCATTGGCCTCACTTTGACTATCAACATACAACCTTTCTATGAATTTTTCACTTCTCTCTTAATGCTACAGTGGAGCAGCAGTACTCAATGATCTTACTCCATGAAGACAGATGAAATACGTTCTCAGGCTGAGTAATCACACCTTCTAATCTCACTTCAGACCTTTAATTTTTCTTAAGTTTTTAGAGGCCTACACTCTAAGTTTTATACATATCTGATATAAATGATGTTTCACACTGATAAACGGGATCTTCATATATTTTTAAGTAAGAAGACTTCTAAGCAGTCATGATTTTCAAGTTTGATCATCAAGAAGATTCATAACATTGACACACTCCTATTACTACTCATGAAAGTCTGTGAAGGGTATCAAATGACATTCAGTACTTGACTATTTTTCCTTGTCAGCAGCATGATGATGAACAACTTTCCAGGTCTCTGGCCAGAGCACAGCCTTGCCTGCAAGGAATAGAATACCTGCAGAGAGTTGGTAAAGAGACAAAGCTATCCTTGCAGATTAAAAAGAAAAAGTAAGCCAAGCATTGCTCTATTAGAAACCATGAGGCCTTGGCAGCTGGAGACAACAGTACAGCTTTCCTGCTGTATGCAGATAAACTCAAAGTCACATCAGTTCAACTGAAAGAATCTTTTGATCTTGGCAATCTTTCAACATTCTTATCTCCACTTTATATACCATGAGCTGACATGTCTCCTGCTCTCAGCACTGCCTGTGTAGCGAGAAATTTAGGGAAAGTTTAGAGATGATACGACATGCTCCACATAAGAGCAACTAGAACTGAAACTGAACCATGACAACCTGCAACATAGCCAGAGGAAACAGACTGGTACGAGTCAGTAAAAGATGGTACAGACCTGGGGCTGCCTGGAGAAAGGTAGACAGAATTTCAAATTGCTAGAAATGTGTGATTCTTTGCTCTTTCTTTTACTCTTTTTATATGAGTTTAGCATTTTTGATGAATGCAGTAACTGGGACTTAAGTCTTCGATTCTATATGGCATGCCACAGTTCAACAAGCAAGGATCTTTGGTCCTCAAATGGTTAAATGCCAAGGGGAATGAGTGCCATCTACTGGCTCCCAGGCTGCCTTAAGAGCTGCTTATCATGACCAAATTAATAAGCAAGAGAATGTTGTAGACTTCAGTGAAGTTTCCCCTCAGCCTCCTCTTCTCCAGACTGGATATGCCTCAGCTGCTCCTCATACAGCTTCCCCCCTACATACTTCATCAGCTTTGTAGTCCTTCTTTAGATGCTCTCCAATAGCTCTACATCTTTCTTACACAGTTTTGCCCAAAACTGCCCAAAGGACTTGAGGTGAGGCCACCCCAGCTCAGAGCAGAGCAGGACAATCCCCTCCCTTGCCCAGCTGGCCATGCTGTGCCTGATGCCCCGCAGGACACGGCTGCCCCTCCTGGCTGCCAGGGCACTGCTGGCTCATGTTCAGCTTGCCAGTGACCAGGACCCCTAAGTCCCTTTAAATAATCATGGCTCAGACCTTGACATTTAGGTCCAGTGACATGGGAGCTGTGTCCAACCACGGAGCCACGCTCAGATCTGCCCTTCAGCAAGAGCCAGGCCGAGCACACACAGCAGCAGACGCACTGCAGTGCCCTGTACAGAAGCATGCAGGCCAGTCAGGACAGCTCTACCACACGAGTGCACTCAAAGAACAGCAGGAAATGGCATTGGAAAGCAGAGCACATAGAAGTCCTACAGAATCACAGAATAGGCTGGAAGGGACCACAGGGGGTCATCTGGTCCAACCTGTCTGCTCAGGCAGGGTCATCCTGGATCTCCTGGCACGGATGTGTGTCCATGTGGTTCTTCAGCAGCTCCAGTGAGGGAGACTCCATAACCTCTCAGGACAATCTCTCCCAGTGCTCAGTCACCCGCACAATGAAGAAATTCTTCCTCACAACCAAGCAGAACTTCTGCGCATCATTTTCTGTCCATTGTCTCTTGTCTTATTGCTTGGCATCACCGAGAAGAGCCTCATGACATCCTCCCTTTAGCTATTTATGCACATTGATGAGTCCCCCTCTCAGTCGTCTCTTCTAGAGGCTGAACAGGCCCAACTCTCTCAGCCTTTCCTCACAGGGATTCAGGGAAAGCGGCCACAAGGCGCGGGCACGGCCCGAGCCCGGCAGCAGGGGGCGCTCCAAGGGGCTCGGGCTCCCGCGTGCCACCGGGCCCACCACCACGTGCCGCGCGCCACCGCTGCCGCCTGCCGACGTCAGAGCTTCCCACGTGCATTACTGGCCTCCCCCACGCACTGCCCGCCGCCCCGACTCACGCAGATGGAGATACGGAGCACCCCGCGCTGGTAGTCCCGGTACAGCTCCGTCGCCTCCCCGTTGCACTCGATGCAGCGGTAGGCGCCGAGCGCCGCCATGGGACGCGGGAGAACGCTCAGCCCTGTCAGCGCTTCCACACCGCCGCCTCGTTTCCGCGTTCGGCAGCGCAGCTGAACCAGACAGCCCCACGCTGCATCCCGGGAGCTGTGGTTTTCCTGCTGCTGCCGTGCGCCAAACTGCGCCGGTTGAGAACTCCATGTCCCAGGGGGCAGTGCGGCGGCGGCGGCCCCATGGGAGGGGCGGTGGGGGCACTCCGTGTTCCCGGCCGAGGCGGCGCGCATGCGCCCTGTGAAGATGGCACCTGCCGGCGGGCTGGCGCGGGGTCCGTGGGTGCCGCTGGCCCTGCTGGCCCTTCTGGCCCGGGCCGCGCTCTCCCTCACCGAGCGCTACCCGGCGCTGTCCCTGCTCCAGCAGGAGCGGCACCGGCAGCGCCACGGCCCGGCGGGAGAGTGGGCGGAACAGTACTCGACCGAGTGCGGTGAGTCGGGGGCGTCGCCTCGGTGACCGCCCGCAGCCCGCCCGGGCGGCGGTGCCGAGGCCGCTGGAGCGGCGGCCGGGACGGCGGTGGCGGTGGCGGGCCCGGGGCGGGGTGCCGGCGGCCCCTCGGCTGTGACTCACAGCGAGGCATCTGGCGGGTGAGCTGCAGCGCCGAGCCCGCCGTGCCGTTGTGTGGCGCGGAGCCACAGAGGCTGTGGCTGTGAGCCGAGGGAAACCTCTCACCCCTGGGACGGGCGAACCTTAGGTACCACACGGGAGGATGCCTGCTGCCCCACTCACCTCCCGAGCCCAGCAGCTGGACTCTGCCTGTTTTTTAATTCCTGTACTCAGTAGTATGGGGATATGCCAGCACCCCGTGCTCATATTACTGTGTTTCTCAGTACTAGATAAGGAGCTGCTGGAGAGGGTCCAGGGATCTGGGACATCCTTCATGGAGAGAGAATGCGGGAGCTGGGCCTGTTTAGTCTAAAGAAAAGAAGACTGAGAGGGAATCTCATTAAGATATATAAATATTTCAAAGGCAGATGTCTAGAGGATGGTGCCAGACTTTTTAGTGATGCCAGTAGACAGGAGAAGGAGCAATGGCTACAAACTAAAATGCAGCAAGTTCCACTTCAGCTTGAGGAAAAACCACTTGGTATGAGGGTGCCAGAGCACTTGTAACAGGCTGCCCAGGGTGCTTGTGGATTTTCCCTATCTGGAGACATTCGAAACCCACCTGGGTGTGTCACCTGCTCGAGGTGACCCTGCAGCAGGGTTGGACTGGATGATTCCATAGGTCTCTTCCAACCATATCACTTCTGTTTTAGTGAGTGGGATGTGGCTTGATTTAATTTCAGCTACAGTTATGTGTTTTACTGGTGAACTGGATGCTTCTCGTTATGAGTGCCAAGTTTGGTTAGCAGATCTTCTGCTATTTTTCAGGTTAATTGATGTATTTTAACACAGGCATAGTTAAAACTATTGAATATCTTTTGTATCTGGGTGTTACGATTGTTGATCTTGAGCATGGTGTGAATGGGCCATACAAAAATGCTAGTCTGAATCACAATGTATGCATAATATAGACAAAGAAAAGGGTTTATCAGTTGCTTGGGATGTGATCCTAAATTATGTATAAGAGAATAACCAGTGATGTGTCATGACTTCTTAGCTATAAGCATGTTTTTGTGATTTTTTTCTGCCTTTTATTTCATAAAGCCTGTGCTCATATCAACAATTCCCATGGTCCTTAACTACTAATATAAAACTAGTATAGTCCACTTGAATAACAGTCTTTGGAGAAATAACTTTTTATGAGTTTCCTGCACCTGTATTTTTTTGCTTTCTCCCCTGCCTCGTGTATGTGCTTTTGTCTTAACATTATAAAGTTCTTTGGTTATTTTTTATTACTTTTTTGTGTGGCTACAGTGGCTGAGAGCCATAGTACGTAAACATGAAATCAGAGCATGAAAGTTATCTCAGGTAACCGTTGCTACAAATTATTCAAACTTAAGCATAAAACAAGAAGACTTTTACCCACTGTTGAGATAAAAATCTGTATACCCTCCAAGTTAATAAATGGCTAAGCACTTGATTACATCTGTTTCTAGACCTGACATGAATGATTGACTCAAGGCACTCCTTCAGAGGTGGATTTGGAAGATTAGCTTTTGATTTAACGGTGGATGTTGTTTTAAAGAAACCAGTGTAACTAGGATTGATACCAAGAATTCTCTTTGAATCATCAGGTATCTCAGGTACCTTGCATGTACTGATAATAAGATAGCCCTTAGTTACACAGCAACGTACTTACCTTCAAATGGCTGTATACCAATTCACTCCTTGCTGTTTAAGTCTTAGGGCTACATGAATTGCCAGTTGAAAAATTCCCTTAAGCTCTCTTGTTTTAGTACAACTTGCACAGAAGCTGAGGTTTTCTTTGGTCTCAGTTTTCCCTGTAGCCTACTACAAGGTCCAAATTACTTTCTCTGTTTGGTGTTTCTAAGTTGTTAATGTGGTTCAGTTTTGATTGTGTCTGACTTGCAGACAAAGTCAGATTCATTTTTCCCTATGAGTAAAGCAATTTGTTGCCCAAAGAACTGCAAGATTCGTGGGGTTCTTTCCCTGCTGTAGCTTGTATCAAGCTTGTGGCTTGGCTGTCTTATTCCCTAACACCTTACAAAAAATTCCTTCACTAAATCCTTGCTGTTGTGAAGAAAATTATTCCAGAGATAGTCCATGCCTGCATCTCTTTGTTTTGATGTCTGAAGTGAGAGTTTCTTGGTGAGTCTGCAGCCAAAACTCTTTAAGTTACTGAATCACAAGCACCAACAGGAACAAGTTACGTGTTAATAACACTGGCATAGCACAGGAGAGTTTGGCCAACGTGAAGAACAAAGGGCAGTGATGAAATCTCATGCTGGCAGCGCTCTTTTTGGAAACTATGAGTGGTTTGCCACTGTTCTCGCAGGACTGACTTTAAACTTTGACTTTCTGCTTTTTACCACCCTTGCTTCTGTTGTAAAACTTCTCCCACTGGTTATCATTTATGGCTCAATGTATTTACAGGGAATGATTTTAGATGCTGCTTTGACTTCTTTTTACAAGAAGACTGTTTCTTTTTCTCTTTTAGCTTTGTGCTTGTGAGAGATAGGGAATTAACTAACTTCTGTCCTTAAGAAGTCAAAATACAAGAGCACACCCTGCCCCCCAGCCTTTCAAACTTAGCATCAAGCTTTGATTTACAAACATTAAGGGAGATGATAAAATTTGATATTTTTGACATGGATTCAAGGAGATAATACTATATATTTGCATTTTCTTGTTTACTCTTGAAATATTTAAAGATGATAGAAGCTTTAGGATCCAAAGATTCAAAAGTATAACAGTTCTATTGGAATAGCAGTTGAAAGCATCATGTAGGAGAAGTAGTGGATTCTGTAGTCTATCAATTGAAGGGGGTATTATTCATTATTATTGTTACTTCTTTATTTGTTTGATATCTTAAACATTTTCTCTGTTATGCCGACAAGCTGTGTTTGACTTTTTAAAGAAATTAATCAGTCTTACACTTTCTATAATGACAGTCTTACCTTTACAAGCTTACCTTTGTATATGTTCGGTCAATTACAGTTCATTATTCTGGCTGCTTTTTACAGTCTTTATACCTGTTTCCCACACATTTTTCCCTTCCTCTTTATGGTCCATTCAATGTATTTTCCCCTCTGGGATTGGAATGATAATTTCATCTGTTATTTTTTGGCTGAGAGAATGGAATCATAATGCCTAAGGGGGACAGGCGTAACCCAAGCTTTTGTTACTTGCTTCCAGCTTCCTCCTTTTTTACCTCTGCCCCGTTTTTTTAGCACCTCTCTTTATTAATCTATTTTTAACCATAAGCATAAGTAGGGATAAAACTAATTATATCCAAGCTGTTGTGTCAGATATTGCTTCCCTGGCTGTGCAGGTTTAGTACTATGGGCAGAAAATGCTTCATGAAAGTTCTGCCCTGTGGGAAGCCCAGTGGGGAAGCTGTTCAGCCAAACATGAGGAAATGTGAGCTGTGATAATAGAACATATATGTAACTCTATGAGTTCTTAAAGGTATTTTCTCTCCTTTCTCCTAGATTCATCATTTTTGCACTTCCATGAATCAGATTGTGACATAGGAGGATCATCAGCTTGTGAATCTATGCTTTCCCTGAATACAGAAAAAATTCTGGTATGTTATCAGGAATATAACGTATGATATAATGGATTATTGAAGTTGCAGATCACTTCAGCTGCATAACCAGTTAGAATGAAGTTCAGGGAAATAAATGCAAATAGAATCTGTTAATCAGTAGGCATAGCTGCCTAAAAGGCCTAAGTGCAAATAAATTCAAGTTGCTCATAAAAGTATTTGTAATAATCCGTCATGAGTCTTTAGGGCTGTCAACTAATTGAAGCAGATGTTGTCACTGCGAGCGAACCTTCACCTCAGTTAATCAGCCAATTAATTTTTTGGTTTTGGGGATGCAGGGGCTATGCCTGAAAAAGGGGGAGGTGCATGAGTTTCTACCCAGATTATCTTTTTGAGGTTTACCACAAAACGCATGTAAAAGTAGGAGTAATGACTTCCAGTCTCTACGGAAGTAATGTTGTACAACAATGAGAGTTAGAGGCTTCGGACCGTGTTTCACTAAATGTGATACTGAGCTGGCATGTGAAGAATATTCTAACAAAAGAGGAGTAATTTTTGGTAAAGAGACCTCAGGAGGATTATTTTGGAATTTGGGTTTTCTTGCAACACTACTCTTAGCCTTTTGAGAACACAGGTTTGATGTTACATCTTCAGTCCAATAGAGTGTAGGTGTTGAAAATCTTCAGATGATTTCCATGTAAATATACAAAGTAGCCTTGGCAAACTTTTAGAAATTATTGGCTGTGAGGAAGTATGTAAGCAATATTATATTTTGAAACAACTTCTGCAAAGGTGGCACTTGGAATTAAAACTACGGTACTGCGAATCCACTGAGCCAATTATTTAACTTGAATATTCTCCTTAGACTTCATCATATATTGGTCAGAAGAGCTATCTAGTCTAGAGCTATCTAGTCCAACAGTACCAG